TTTTTTTTTTTTTTTTTTTTTTTTTTTTTTTTTTTTTTTGTCGCTCGATCATATGAACTTCATGATTAATCGTGCTTTACTTTGAGCAATTTTATGTTGGATGACCTCCCGAGAATTTTACAGGTAAATGAAAACAAAACATGTTGGAAAGACTCGTGTTCGTGTCTAATTCAAATTTTTTTATTACGCATCGAGAAAAATACTTGTTTTTTCTTTGATAAAATGAAATATTGTTTATCTTATACTAGATAATATCTAAAAAGATATTTAAATATCAAATCAAAGAAAAGATATTTAAAAATAAATATTAAAAAAAATCCTCAATTATTCATTTGGGTCTTAATAATAACAACTTTATATTAAAAAAAATTATTTGAAACATTTAATTTCAAAGTACATGGGCCCCACCACAAAGCCACATCACCCCCCACCCTTATCATCTTCTCAACCCCTCAATCACTTCAAATAATGCAAAAATGGTCCCCACACCCATATTCCCTCTTTCTAAAAAAAAATTATAATATTTATTAAAGTTATTAAGATTAAATTAATAAAAATATTCTTAAACTAAAATAAATAAATATTTTACTATTAATTTTAAATAAAAATAATTAATATTTTCAAAAAGTTATTTTTCAACTTCTAAAAAAAATCAAAAATATTTTTACCATCCATTATCCCATCTAAAAAAAAATACTCTATCAGGTGTCACTTTCATCCCAAATCTTCCTTTAATTGGAACTCGACTCTTTTTTTTAGAGTTCTTTGTTCGACATTTTTTTGAGTATTCTATTGACATAGCTAAATTTAGAGCATGGCTCTAATATCATGTTAGATGAACATGACTCTCGATAGTGGTATGATATTGTCTGAGTATAAGCTCTGATGGTTTTGCTGTGCTTTCTAAGAGCCTCATTAGAATGGAGATAGTATTTTTTTATTATAAACTCATCGTCATTCCCTAAATTAACTGATGAGACAAAACAATTGGGATTTAATTTTAAAAGTGGGACCCATTTTTTATACTGTATATGATATTTTTCATTATAGAATATTCGAAGCTGAAATCGGATGTGCCATTGCAGCCCTGTTTTTGAGCAGCTGTCTGTCTATATAAATCTCCCCCCAACCATTGCTCCGAATCTCATTGCACAATCAAGAACAATTAAAGAAAAAGAAGAGGGAAAAAAATGGCAGCAATGGTAGAATCATGGATGAGCGAGCTGGGGAAATGGAAGAACAGAGTCGAAGCTCAAAAGAAGAAGCCATTGATGCCCAAATCCAAGCTTTGTCACCAGCGAGACCTCAAAGAATCCGAAAACAACCTTGTCATCTCTGCAGATTCCGATGACCGAGAAGCAACCTTGTCGGATTCCACCATTTGTTTGCTCATCGATCGCTTTGCTCCCTTGTGATGCGCCGCCGGAAAATGGGTTCCTCTGTTTTTCTCTGTTTTTCTCTGATCTGCTTGTGATATGATGAATATATATAGTGTGTGTAAATGATTTTATAATCGAATTACGGCCGGCGCCGGCGTTGGGTTTGGCCGTCGTCTCGCCGCCGTGTTGGGAAGAGGAGAGAGGAGGAGATGGTGGTGGTTCTTTAGTTTTTCCGGCCGGGAGCGGTGGCGGGATCGGATGGTTCTAGTTCTACTCTGGCTTTTTGTTGTTGGATTAGTCCCCCAAAGACCAAAACTTTAGTTACATGTACATATTTGTGTTAATAATTTTTAGTAAGATCCTATTTTTCTACTAATCTTTAGTACGAACCAACAAAATAGACAAGAGGGTCGGAGTTTTATGGAAGGAGAAGTGGAAGGAAAATACGCGTTAAGGAGGTCGAGAGTCGAGGCCGACTTGAGTAGTTTTTACCAAGAAACAAAATAAAACGGAACCAACTTTTGATATTATAAAAAAAGGAAATACCAACACAGGTCGAGACCAAAAATGAGTCGACCTCACTTAAGTTGAGATCAAGGACAAGGTCAAGGCTTGTTAACAAATCGTGGACGCCCACAGCTCATGGTTTTCTCAATTTGTTCGTTTCCCGAGGCATTAGAGTTCAACTACAAAAAAAAAAACACGTTGATGATTATAAGCTCCTAAGATGAGAATCGTACACCTCTATGAAGATTGAAATCGTTTCACCGTAGTCTCCGGTAATTTCTAAAATCTTATTATACTAAACTCTTTTTTAATGTGTGACATGCACTATATAAAAATATGTCACTAATATTTAAACGGTTCTAAGTTTTTGACTTTGATTTAAAATTAAAAATAGTAATTAATTAATTAATTATAAAAATGAAATAATAAATAATAAATAAATAAACTGAAAATGGTCTCCAGTTAATTGAGTGCCAGAGATGTCCTACTTACATGT